AGCCATAAAATTTAACCATAAAACAAAACCCAAGTACTTTTAAAACTACCGATATAATTCTCGTTTATATCGCGACACTTAAGAATGCAAATCTTATAATGAGATTATGTCATTATGTATTCATGTTAAATAATCCAAATACAGTTACAGCGATCCGAACCCGATGAGAAATTTTTTAAGCAATTACATAATCCAAATAGTTTTGTAGGTGTGAAACACAAATAGTAAACATGATAAAGACAAAGGACTTGAAACTTTAGTAGGTGAGAACACGTGGTAACATTGTACTCTATGAAAGAAAATTATTCACTTGCTTGTTTATCCTCTTATTTTAGAGTGAATTTAATTGTTTAAAATTGCATAGTCGTGAAAAATCGTGGTAAATGCTAGACAGAAACTAAAAAATAATAAATCAACTAGTCTATTGATCTTTTGAATCCTAAAAGTATGAAGGTAAACCATAAAAAATTAAGTAAAAAACACAATCGCACCTCCGCTAAAAACGAGTCACAACTCAAAAAATGTTCTTTTGAGAAAATTGATGTTAAAGGATATTGAAAATATTATTTTATTGTAAACTGGAATGTATGCATTAGCTCAGTGTTATTGGTGCATCGTTTTTCTCAGAAAATTCAATTTTTGCAGGTCCTAGTGAAAAATAGAAACATGCCGATATTGTGACACTTTTGTAGAACAAGATATTATCATCTTAAAAATCAACTTGTTAGAGTATGATAAAACAAACACAAAGAAAAGCAGAAAAAACTTTTGTATTTATTATTATAAAGAGTTATACAAAACTGGGAAAGTGATTATTCTTTACTAGATTTCAAGAGATCCTTTTCTTATCCTCTTCTAATAATAAATTCTTCTAATAATTTAATTTTATCTGAAAAATTAAATTATTAGAAGAATTTTTCACTATGTAACAAAAAACAAAATTTGTTTAATTTATGTTTGTATTTTGAGAACGATTTCCGAAGAGGAATTGAAACGTCAATAAACGTATTTTTATCTTTAATTGTGGCTTATTCCCAGTTAAATAGTAATTAATTATTGAGATGTTGTCTCACTGCCAGTAAAAAGTGTGGGGGTGCCCCATCATGCTGAAATACATCCCTCGGATAGCAACGTTCGCGTTGGCAAGCAAATTCGGCAAAATATTTTGTAGAAAGTTCAAACAGACCTGCCCTGTTAAAGGACCATCAAAAAAGTGAGGACCTACTAATTGGTTATTTATGACACCAATCCACACGTTAACCGAAAACCTTAACTGAGAACGACGTTCTCGAATAGCATGGGGATTTTCTTCTGCCCACACATGTGAATTTCGTGAATTGTTTATCCCGTCTCTGGTAAATTGGGCTTCATCTGTAAATAGTGTCCTGTATAGCGTTGGTCGATTATTGTTAATCCATCTACAACATTCGAACCTATCGATCTCATCTCCAGCATGTAGTCGCTGAACCATTTGAATGTGATATGGGTATAGATTATTTTTTTGTAAGACTCTACTTACTTTTGATTGAGTAACATTGAGTTCTCGACTTACTTGTGTATTGCTTATTGTAGGGTTCATAGTAACGGCGTCCATAATGTCATCTTCCTGCGCTTCATCTACATGTCGCTCTGTTGTTCCACTAGGAAAAGTGCCATTTTCTCGCAAATAATTAAAAACTGATCCAAATGTTGGATGACTGGGAGTTCGACGATTAGGAAATCTCCTGCGATATTCTCTACTAGCAGCCCTACCATTCCATTACAGAATCCATAAACAAATATTATGTCTGCATATTCTGTGCCGAAAACTGATGTGGCATTTGAACAAAAGTAACAAAAGCTCTACCAAAACTAACACAATGTACTTAACGTAGATATGACAGAAGAAATATGTATTCTTGTACACATAAATAACAATTGATAATGACAATAATGACAATGGGTATAAAATATCAAGAAACGTCAAACGGTCAACGCCAACCTTCATTTTAAACTTTTTTAGATTTATTTTTATTTAGTACAGTTGATGCAATGTATTATTATTTGACATAAAATTTTAATCATTTACAATCAACAAAAACTAACACATACAAGAGGTTTGACTTTTTAATCAATTTAATTTATTATTTATCGAAAATAATGCCCCAATACGATCTATGAGTAAAAATTTAAAATTGAAAAACAATTGATTCTATCGTAGAGATAATACAAAGTGACAGTAAAGATGTTAATTTTCTACGTATTAGATTATGTTGTAGGAACTCATTTTAATTAAAATGTTTGAAATTTATAACATTTGTTTAAATTAATACCTTATAATTTGATACTTCATTATGGTTGTTCTATTTTTGGTAAGATTTGATCGTTCACTAAAAATTTAATAAAAGTGCGACAATGTTGTCGCATATGTCGTTTTCATTGGCTATTTATGTAGTTTGAAAATCACTTATTGCATTTAAAAAAAAATATATTAGGGTGTAATATTTAATACGAATCCCTAAATTAATTTTTCCAAAGCCAGTCCTGGAATTTTTTAGTTTAGCTAATACCAGTCGAATGCTTGATAGTAGTGTACTGTATCATGCAAAAATTAAAAAATCAAATGAGCCGTATAAACACTACAGCAAAATGAAATAAATGGTCAATTACACAAATCACCCTGTTAATTAATAAAGAAGAGGAGTTGACATTTTTAGTGGCACATGATATGCTCCCTGAGGGACTCTACATATGGTAGAGTATGTAAAGTTCCTCATGACTCACCCTGTATTTGTACCGTTAAATGAATAAACGTCCATCGTGTTAGTGTTAGAATAAATTAAAATGAACATTACAATTTTATGTAATTTGTGAAAACTTACATTTAAGTTACATATATTACATTTTATTGAAAACTCTAAAAGTAAAAATGTACTAGAGACCAAAATAACAAAAACATCGTTTTTGACCTGCCTAGATGGTATACATACCTATACCTTATGTAAAGCTAATAATGGTGTCATGCATTAACAATTTTATTTGCATACAGTAAATAATTAACAACATTCAGGACATGTCCGATGACTAAACTTGTTCCAACTAACTATTAAAATATCACACACCTCGTATTTATATTATTCAATGTTTCTTGGTAATCACAATTAATTTAGAGTACCGATATGTTAGTCATCTAGACAGTTTTCTTAAAAAAATACGAAATAGACAAGGATAAAAAGTTTTATGACAGATGCATATATTATGTTTACGAAATAGTAACAAATAAAGGAACACAATATCTTGTTATTAATTTAGAATAAATTATTTTAAAAGAAATTGCCAAAACAAATAAATATAAAGTTATTTTTAAACATTTTAATACTTTATTGTTTGTTATCTGCAATTTTCAAAAACTGGTTTTTAAATATTAATAAAAAATAGCCAAAGAAACAAGAAAAACCTTGTTATTCGTTGATAACAGTCATTGTACAGCCCATAATGACATTCTACAGATGAAAGGAGTTAAAATCCAATATCTGCCCATCAATACCACATTAAAAGTACAGCTATCGATCAAGGTATCATTAACAACTAAAATAATCTACTATAGATGTAGTACAAGAGTGCAAGATTTAAGAATGGCTGATAAACCTTGGTGAAATGTAACTAAGATTACTATAAAAAACTGTTATGTACAATGTGGTTTTCCATCGTCGTCAACAGAAGAAGTTGAAACCGAAGATATTTCTGTTTCAACTCCTGCAGAATGGAATACGCTGTCTGAATCAGAAATATTCTTTTAGGACTGTTGGAGTTACGGTACACGATGATAGAGTTACGAATGGTGAGGCATTATCTTATATACCAATTGTTCAATTCGTGGCTTCAAATTAGTGAGGTTTAGATCTTTAC